CATGGCAACAGAAAAGCAACTAATACTGTGTTTGGAGGCACATGTGCATGTGTGCACATGCATGTAGAAGCCTGAGGTTAATGTCAAGAATCATGCCTGATTGCTCTCCCACCTTATTCAAGTAGGGGGCGTCTGTTAGTCAAACCCAGAGCTCGCCCATATGGCTAGTCTCCCTAGACAGTGTACTCTGGCGATCCCCGCTCTCTGTCTTTGGAGACTGGAGTTCAGGTGGGCCACTGCACTCACCTGGCATTTATGTGGATTGTGGGGATCCAAACTCTAATCCTCACACTTACTCACCGCTGAGCTGTCTCCCCAGCCCTGAGGAGCTGAGTTTGATGCCCAGCACTCACATAAAAAAGCCAAATGTGGTGAGAACACCTATCTATAACCCCAGCACTGGGGTAGAGGGGCAGAAACAGGATCTCTGGGGCTTGGCCAATCAGAGCTTCCACATCTCTGGCCCTGACGGTTGCAGACAGGGCCAGGCACAGGACCAAAGACAAGTGATAAAGTAACAGGATCTTTTTTAAAAAAACTGTTGGGTGGGGGCTGGGGCCACTGGTGGAGACCTCACACCAGGTGAGCCCAGTGCAGAATCTGCCCAAGATTATGATGGAAGCTGATGAATTTGGAAGAGAGATTTCTGAGTGGCCTTTGAACACCTGGATCCGGTCAGGCGTGAAGCAGACGCTAAGGCTTCTGGCTTTCCGGTTATGTGGTTTTGTTTGTTTTTGTTCAGGCTAGTTTGAGTTGGGTTTCTGACACTCACTAACAATAAAATTTCCTGGGTATAACCTCATTGAGACTTTAGCATAAGAATGACTGTATGTTCAGAAAAAAAGGGCTAAACAGGTTCTGACAGGCTCAGACAGACCCACCAGGCTGTAATCATCTACGAAACTTAAAAGTAAAATAGTTGTCTAGAAAAGAAGTGAGTTAAGACAAAGGAACCGATCAGAAGACCCATAACAAAAGGCTTCTCTAGCTACGGCTAACTTCAGAGCACGAGCCCCTCTTCTACTGATAGCAAGCTCAGAGCACGAACCCCACTTTTCTGCTTCAGAAGTTATACCAGGGAAACATTCCAAAGTTTTCAAAGAAAACTTTCAGTTGAAGGAACAGCTAATTTTTATAATCTATACCTGATGCATACATTCAAATTAATGACCCGGTATATTTACCAGGTATATCGGTGGAGTTACATTATGGCTGTGTATGCAAATGCACACTTATGCATATGTATTGTTAGAGTGCAGGTCTGCCAAAGACCCGCTCCTACTGCAATAAGGCCTCACAAGACAGGCCATGAGGGCCCCCTTGCAAAACAGGAACTGGCCAGGGGGCTGCATTTAGAGCTGTCTCAGCACAAAGCTGTTCCCCAGATAATTTTAGAAGATAAACAGGCCCCTGCACCCCAGATCCACTGATGTAAGAGCTGTCTCAGTGCAAGTTGCTTCCCCTGCAACTGTAAAGATTATTTGGCCACCTGCCACATTCCCCAACCCCCTATAAGAACTTCCTCAGCAGTCAGCAGGTGGCTGGTTGATTTCTCTCCCTAGCTGAGCTGCCAGCTACCAGCAATCCTAAGAAATAAACTTAGCTTTGCCAGAGTCCTCCTGTGTTTTCTGTGACTATCTCCTGCCCAGCTTTAATCTATGGCACCGAAACCCAGGAAGAGGAATGACTTGGTTATATATGACCCGGTTCCTTCTTACTGAACCATGCTGGTAACTATACAGTCCTGAAACTGGCTTGCCTATGCCGGCTCCCACCACTCACCACATCAGGCCTGAGATTATGAGTCCATCTGCATTCCTCACCCACTGACAGAGTTTGGTAAGTGCTCTCCCACAGAGCTGTGGATCTCTGCATTCTCTCTCTCTCTCTCTCTCTCTCTCTCTCTCTCTCTCTCCTCTCCCCCCCCCACCTCCCTCTCCTCTCCTCTCTCCACTAAGACTTAGATGGCTCAGGAGCTCCTGGAGCTTCCCACTGCGCCCAATGGGACTCCTCCTTCTCCCTTCCTTTGCCAAGAGCTTGGAAGGCTGTGTGCCCCATGGTTCTCCCTGTCTTTGTCCTTTTCCAGTGTCCTTCTTCCTCACTTTGCTCAGGATGATTTCTGAAACCGTCCTATCCAATTTTAGGTCTCCTTTGCTTCCATCCTTTTCTCTAGACTGTCTCTCCCCCACCCTCTAACTAGTTATGGATTCCCTGCACAGGAAAAATGCTCTGGATCCCTCTCCTCTCTTCCCTTCCAGTAACCCTTGTCCTGCTTCTGAACCCAGCTACAAATGTTTAAATCTCTGTAAGTCTACCTGCTTTTCTAAATTTTTCAGAGAAAAATTTCTTCTTTATATCCTTATTTAAACATGCTTTCCTTCATGCCTTAGGCTGCCCAGCATCTTGTACTTTAATTTTCTTTAAAGCTTTCCATTCTCCATCACGTATCTGACCTCCATGCAGGCTCTAAAGCTACATTGCATCATGGCTATGTCCTAGCGCTTCTGTTTTGGTAAATTCTTCTGTAAGTGAAAAATATAAAACCTTTAGGGGACACTCTTTCTCCCTATACCATTTTAGTGACCACTAAGGACCCCCAAATCCTAATAACTTATTTATTTCCTGGTCATATGGAATCTTTTACAGGTGCTCTGAATTGAGCAGGTAAACTTTATTTATTTTACTATCTTGCCCCAGGTTATTCAAGGCTACAAACTGCAGATGTTCAATCACAAGTCCTAATCCTTTTGGAATTTTTGTTTTGGCTTTCATCTTGGATTCTTGATCAGATCATTAAAAAAAAAAAACCCCAACAGAGTTGAACAGTTTCTATTATCTTATAACAAGGTCAATACATTTTTATATCAGACTAAAGAAGTAAAGCCACATGGGAGTTTAAATTTTAACATTATTTTAACCTGTTTCTAAATGGGATTATTTTCAGTACTATTTGAATTTTATTTATTCTTAACCTAAAGTGTTAACGTTTCCTTTTTGTCTTTCCTGTCTCCTCTGATTTAAGTTAGGCTAATAACTTATAACTTTGCTGGGTTTCATATGTAAAGGTACCTCCCTCTGTAAAAAACATTAAATATTAGTTTTCTCTTTCAAAACCTGTAAAACTTGGGATTTGGTTTTGACAAGAAATTCTAATCTTTTAATTCCACCATGCCTTGTAAGAATTGTGTTCAAGAAAAGGCCCTGATGCATTCTGAACCTGATGGTCTAGAACAGCTGAGCTCTTCTCTCTTTAAGCTGATTCCTTTAAACATCTTTATATAAAAGTAAAATCTGCCTTGCCAAGTTACTTTGCTTTGTCTATGTGTTTCTTGTGAGGTATTGATAGGGTTCTTAAGTAGTTATTTGGCTCTTAAAAGGAAAAAGATGCTACTTCAAATCTATGTGACAAACAACCTTTTCTTTTATACCACTAAGTCTTTCAAATATTAAAGAACCAGAGATACAAGCTTTCTGTCTTCTGCTGTTTGGCGCACCTAGAGTTCATGTGATTGTGCTATGTGTGTCTGTGATAACTGTTTTCATGTATTGTTTCTGTCAAAACAATTTTTGAACTGTAGCCACTTTAGCTCTTTTTCCTTTCTCATTGTTTTATTATGCACAAAAATTATTGGTTTGGGGGCTGGAGAGATGGCTCAGTGGTTAAAAACACTGACTGTTCTTGCTGGGTTCGAATCCCAGCACCCACATGGCAGCTAACAACTGTCCGTAACTCCAGTCCCAGGGGATCCGACAGCCTCTTCTGACCTCCGAGGGCATTGCACGACATGGGTGCACTTACCTATGTGCAGGCAATACACACATAGATATAAAATAAAAATAATAAATAAAATAAAATTATTGCTTTTATTTTTGGCATGCCTAATCAAAATACAGGTGTACAAATTTGTAAATATTTTGGTGATACATTCAAAGGCCTTATAAATGGGCACCCTAATTATTTTAAAAACTTAAAAAAATTATTTTTTTATTTTTTTATTTTATGTGTATGCGTGTATTGCCTGCAGAGGTTGGTAAACTCAGAGCGAGGAATGCAGCAAATACTTCTGACTTTGCTGCTGGTTCAGGAGAGCAAACAGGCAGCACCAACATGAACGGCAGGGCCGTTCTCCTAAAAAACTGTATCTACAAATACAGATGCTGGCCTCTATTTGGCCCAGTGTAAGAGACAAAATACCAGTCCATTTTCTTTCCTTCCTTTTTTTTTTACCCCTGTAGCCCAAGTTGGCCTGGGACTCACTAGGTAGACCAGGTTGGTCTTGCTGTCACAGAGATCTGCCTGCTTCTGTCTCCTGAGTGTTGAGATCAAAGCTGTGCACCACCATGCCCCCAGCCGAATGGTCCAGTTTCAAAGAGTGCCTTGGGCCAACTTAGTTCCAAACACTAACCCAAACTCTGTAGTCTACCTACCTTCCTCCACCCAAACAGGGGTGGTGAATGACCGTAAGGAAACAGGGTTTTCCAGACAGCTGGGAAGTTACTCATATGAACTTACGACAGTGGTGACAGCATGCACAAGTCCCATGCAAGCTCAAACTAGACACTCCCTCAGCATAGAAGGGAGATGGGCAAGACGCTCCAGGGTCCAATGGAGGACACTGGGAGGAGAGTTGGTTTTCTTTGAGGGAGTGATAGGTTGGCTAGGCTCCAGGGGATGGACTCATACCAAGGGACATTTGGGGACAACTCGACTTGAGATAGGCCTTAAAATACATGAGAGAATGCATAAAAACTGGAAAGGGGCTTTGAGGGGTGCAGTTAGGGGAGGGAGATCTAAATACGATCAAGATGCATTGTATGAAATTCACAAAAATCAATTAAAATCATTAACATTAATAAATAGGATAAAAATATATAAACACACCGAAAAAAAGTACAGAACTTAGTCTTAAGCAACTCTTGGGACCAACCTCTTCCTCTGGCCCTTACCACCTGACAAGTAACTAATATGTTACTTTCTGAGCCTCAAGAAACAGCTTTACCTGGGGGGGATTCTCGATGACCAGCTCGTAGGTCAACCCCATCGACCCGAACCTCAGGATGTCTCCCGGGATCAGCCTCACAGCCACGTTCTGAATGTGGCACTCGTTGACAAATGTGCCATTGCTGGAGTTGAAGTCCTGAAGGATGAAGCTTCCCTCGGCCTCGTCAAATTCAATGAGCGCGTGGTGGTTGTCAGTGTCTGTGGACTGAAACAGAGGACAGTCGTGACTATGGGGACGAAGATGGCACAGCCTCCAATACTTAGTGATCACTGACTGTGATCAGTGAATGGGTGAAGTGTTCTCTGAAATGCCTTTCTGGGTGCTCTCCAGGGTCCTCCTGTCTGTCTGTCTGTCTGTCTACATATCTATCTATCTATCTATATATATATATATACACACACACATATATATATATATGTATCGGTGTGTTTTGTGTGTATTTATACGTGTGAGGGTGCACGTGTGTGTGCATGCACATATATGCATGTGCATGTGGAAGCCAGAGGTCAACCTCAGGTGTCATTTCTCAGGTGCCGTCCACCTTGTTTTTTTAGACAGGGTCTCTCATTGGCCTGGAACTTGCCAGTTTGGCTAGGCTGGGGGGGCTCCAGGGATCCCCCTCAGCTAATCTTCCCTGGAAGTATCCTCACAGACACACCTTCAAAAGGCATGCCTCCCAGGGGGTTCTACAGCCCACCAAGTTGACAATCAAGGTTAACCATCACACGGAGCTGGAGAAATGACTCCAATTAAGAACACTGTTCTTACAGAAAACCTGGGTTCGAATCCCAGCACCCACATGGCAGCTAACAACTGTCCATAACTCCAGTTCTAGGGGATCCAACAGCCTAGCGCACTTACCTACATGCAGGCATAACTCTCATACACACAAAAATAAAAATAATAAATAAAATATTTTAAAAAAGAACTGTTCTTCCAGAGGACCTGGGTTTGATTCCCAGCACCCACATGGCAGCTAACAACCATCTGTAACTCCAGTTCCAGGGGATCCTATGCCCTCTTCTGACCTCCATGGCATTGCACAACACAACATGGGTGCACTTACATACAAGCAGGCAATACACTTATACACATAAAATAAAAATAATAAATAAAGTAATATTTTTAAACAGTGACCATTGAAATGAGGGATGAGGAAGAGAGAAAGTCCCCTCAAGATGGAGCTGACTATCAGAGTGAATACTGCTTGGGGCAGAGCTGCCTGAGAATGCGACTTCTAATTTATTTGATTTTTTACTGTGTGTTTGTGTGTATGTGTTTATGCACATTTTCTCCTTTATCTCCATCCTCTCTGCCCTGCACTGCATGGCTCCTACAACGTAGTCCTAGCGGAACCCTGAAACTGCCCAGTGTGGGGCAGAATGGGGCTGGGGAGTGGGCGTCAGCACTCCACCCTATAACCCTGTCTTAGTTTGTTTCTTCATTGCTGTGACAAAACACTCTGACCACTACCAACTTGGGGAGGAAAGGGTTTATTTGTCTTACATCTCCCAGGTCGCAGTTCATCAGGGAGCCCAAGGTAGGAACCCAGGGCAGGAGCCTGGAGGCAGGAGCTGGAACACAGGCCATGGAGGAACTCTGCTTACTGGCTTGCTCCTGTGGCCCCTGCTCAATCTGCTTTCTTATGCAACACAGGCCCACCTGCCCAGGGGTGGCACCACCCACAGTGGGCTGGGCCCTCCCACATCACTCATCAAGAAGATGCCCCTCAGTCATAGCCACAGGCCAGTCCAATAGAGGCAATTCCCCGATTGAGGCTCCCTCAACCCAGGTGTGTCAAGTTGACACTAAAGCTATCCAGCACAAACCCTCTCTTCTGTCCATCATGACAAAGTTGATCAACACAGAACATGAAAAGTTGGAGGCGGCTCACACGGGAGCTCCGGAATCAGAAGTTAAATACCGTCAAACAATATTATACAAAAATCATAAAAATTCAATAAAAAATTAAAAGAAGTCCAGGTGACAGGAACGATGGCTCTCACAGAGTCCTCAAACCCTCTCCCTGGGGACCCTCACTTGGATCTGGGAGCAGAGAAATGGTCGCTACCTGGACCACTGCATCTCAGGCTAGGGCCCGGAGTTTAACTAGCACACGCTTGTGGAAAACTCATCAGCCACTGGGTGGGGACATTTCTTCAGCTGAAAAGAACTGAGACCTTTCTCTTTGGAGCTTAACAGTTACATCTGCTGGGCAGTGATCCTGTCAGCCCAACTATTCAGGAGGCAGGAGGATCCCTTGAGTCCAGGTGTTTAAGACCAACCTGGACAACTTAATGAGACCTGCTCAAAAACAAAGGACCCGGGGAGATGGATCGGTTGATAATGTGCTTGTCCTGCAAGCTTGAGGGCCTGACTTCTGATCCCCAGCACCATGTGAAAGCCAATCATGGCAGCATGAGTCTGTAACCCCAGCTCTGGAAGGACAGCAGGATGGGATGAAGGCAGGAGGATCCCAGGAATTCACTAGCTGCAGGTTCAGTGAGAAACTCTGTCTCAGAAAACAAGGTAGAGGCTAGAGAGGCATCTCAGAGGTTAAGAGTGCTTGCTGCTCTTGCAAGAGGATGACAGTTTGATTCCCAACCCCATATAGGGTGACTTGCAACCTCCTGTCACTCCAGCTCCAGGGGATCTGACACATTTTCCTGGCCTCTGTGGAAAACACATTTGGTGCAAATACTGGAATTCAGATACATATAAATAGAAATAAAATAAAGAGAGCTACTGAGGAGGATAGCCAACGTTCACCTCTGGTCTCCACGCACACACATGCATACATGTACACACACATGAACACACACACACACAGAGAGAAACAGTCGGTAGCCACTTTCAGTATCAAACTGTGCAAATTTCATCTCACAGGGTTTAGCCCTGAACTCAGCAAAGCTCTCACTTCTAGAATTGCTGGTTTTCTTTCAGACTTTGGACTCACTACATGTTCTCACACCCTGGGGCCGAGTCCTTCTCTCCCACCCTACAAACATGGATAGTCAGCCCCTCCCTGATCATCTTTACATGCCATGCGACTCTATGCACATCCGTGAGAACCCGAGGCCTACATCTGCCCCCTGCTTGCAAGGACTGTGTGTGATTCTGCCCCTCTTCTGCTTAGGTGATCACCAAGGAAATGTTTATGGAGACCAAGCTGGCTAAGGTGAGTTCCCTGCTGCCTCAGGGAACCAAACTGCATAGGAGGCAGAGAAAAGTCTGGAAGGTGAACCCTGCAGAGATCCGCCTTGGTTGTCCCAATACAATGTTAGGCTTACCAAAGAATATAAATCTTCCACAGTGGGGTTCCCTGTTCTTTGAAATTTACCCAGGCAGCTGAAACAATCTTTTATGTCTTTATTGTAAGATTTTAAAAATTTTAACTTACTTATTTTGTATGTGTGTCTGTGTATGGGTGCACAAGTCACGGCACCTACGTATGGAAGTCAGAGGCCAACTTAGTGGGAGCTGGTTCTCTCCTTTCACATGTGGGTTCCAGGATCAAGCTCAGATCATCAAGCTTGGCAGCAAGTGCCTTTACCCACTGAGCCATCTCATCGGCTTAATTGATCCTTTAAAAAATTGTTATTTATTTGCTAAGTTTAACTGCTGGGTAAGCTCAAAGCCTTAAAATTTATGTATTTTTATTTTACTTGTATGAGTGTTTTACCTGCATATATGTAAGTGCACCATGCCCCACTGAGGTCAGAGGAGGGCGTCAAATCCCCCTGAAACTGGAGTTATCAATGATTATTAGCTGCCTGGAGGGTTGCTGGGAACCAAACCTGGATCCTCTGCAAGGGCAGCCAGTGTTCTTAACCACTGAGCCATCTCTCCAGCCCCTCAGGCTTTTTTAAAAAATTAGGTTTCTGAATATTTTTAGCAGAATAACTTTTTAAGGATTTATTTTTATTTGTGTGTGTGTGTGTGTGTGTGTGTCTGTGTGTCTGTGTGTCTGTGTGTGTATGCCTGAGGAGGCCAGAAGTTGGATCCCCTGGAGCTGGAGGTACAGATGATTGTGAGCTGCCTGACATGGGGCCTGGGAACTGAACTCAGGTCCCTGTAAGAGCAGTACATATTCTTAACTACTGAGCCATCTCTCCAGGCCTGGTGACTTCCATGTTGAACTAAGGCTAAGGATAGTAGTCAATTATTTTTATATCATAAATACAACTCAATTTCTGTCCACCTAATAGCTGTTCTCATTAGTTCCCTTTCCAAGTAGATTTTGGTATCTGTAGGTGCCCCCTTCAACCCTCAGTGTCTCTCAGAATTTCTCTCAGCCTCATTTTATGAAAGCTTAAGAATAATCGTGGTATTATTTACTTAGCACTGTGTGCTGGTGCCTGGGATGAATTTTCTCATTTAATCCTTACAACTGCCCTGAAAGGTAAGAGGTTTACAGACGGGAAGATGAGTTCATAAAAGCACATTGCTTAAACATACACAGCTAGGAAATGGCCTAAAGAGATTCAAGCCCAGATCTGTTTCTTCTCAAAGCTTTTGTCTTTAAAACTACTATGATTTTCTAGTCTCACAGTTTGATTTGAAAAAAGAGATCCCTGGGGCTGTCGAGATGATTCATCAGGTAAAAACACTTGCTGTGCAAACCTAGAGACCCGGGTTCAAGTCCCTGAACCCACATAAAGGTAGGAGAGAACCTACTCCATACATTTGTCCTCTGACCTCCACATGTGCACTGTAGTATACGTGTTGCTCCCCCACATACACATTATACAAACACACACACACACACACACACACACACACACACACACACACACAAACGTGTATGTATATAGATGATATATAGATAAATAGATGGTAGATGATTGATAGATATAAATAAAATAAAATAGATCCTTGTTTCTATCTTGGCCAACAGTAAGGAAAATTACCTAAAGCCTATCTCTTAATATGATGAGAAGAAACAGTAATTATTTCCTCTTTGTCGTTCCCTCTTTAGGAGTAGGTTTTTTTGTGTCCTTGTAAGAAGAGGAAACCACGTCATGGATGAAACCACGGCTAGGACTGGCATGATGGTTCATTCTGATGGTCGACTTGATTAGATGGAGGGAACCAGCCTTGGGGATTGGTAAAGCACAGCTCTGAGGACACCTGTGATGGCGTTTCCACAGAGAAAATGAGACCCCGAGGACTCTGATTCAATGAGCGGATTCATAACTGAGAGAATTATTGGGGGTGGTGGCAAGTAGGAGCTGAGACCTAGCCGGAGGAGGTAGGTCATAGGGGCGTGTCCTTGGGGGTCATGTCCTGCCCTGGCATCCTCTGTACTCCCTCTGTCTGTTTCCTGTCTGCTCTGAGGTTAGACACTGCTCAACTACACGTTCAGGTCCCCATGCTGTTCTGACCAAGCACATAGGTCAACCTATCATGGACTAAACCTTCACAGAGTGTGAGCCAAAATAAATTCTTCCTCAGTGAAGTTGTTTCCGTCAGGTAGTGTGTGTCAGAGAGATGAGAAAATGACTAGTGCAGGAGATAGGATGGTTTATGTTTCAATTGTTGAATTTATAATAAACATTCTCAAAAGACTAAAAGGGGAAGTTTTCAATTTGGTAAATTTCCCAAAACCCTATAGTTAACATGATACATAGTCAGAACACTGAACACCTTCCCTCTGAAATCAGAAGCAAGGCAAACAGGAAGAATCGTGTTGCTCTCATAACTTTTTCTCAACAGCAGACTAGGAATCCTGGCCCATAGAATAGCACAAGAAAAGGAAATTAAAGGCACACAGATCAAAAAGGGAGATAGAAAACTGTTCCTACTTACCAGTGACATATGAAGTTCCAAATATTAAAAAACAAGTTTCTAGAAATTCTGTCAAGGTTGTAAATTCCCATGTCAGCATACTAAGAACTGTATTTAAAAATATATTTTATTTATTATTTTTATTTTATGTGTATGAGTGTATTGCCTGTGTGTAGGTAAGTGCATCCCTGTTGTGCAATACCCACGAAGGACAGAAGAGGCTGTGGATCCCCTGGAACTGGAGTTACAGACAGTTGTTAGCTACCATGTGGGTGCTGGGATTCAAACCTGGGTCTTCTGCAAGAACAGTCAGTGTTCTTAACTGCTGCACTATCTCTCCAGCCCCCAAACAGCTGTATTTTTATACACTGCCAATGAACAGCAGATACCGGAATTGAAAGTCCAGTGCTGTTTATTATCACTAATGAAAGAAAGAAAAGCTTAAATACAAATCTAACAAAATGTGTGCAAAACTTCAATGTTGAAAGTACAAAACACTCATTTAAAAATGCAAAGAAGACCTACATGCACAGAAAATACCATGTGCACAGTGTAAGCACAACACAGGGAAACACCAGTCATTCCCACATTGATATATAAGCACCAGCCCAATTTCTAACACAATCTCAGCAAAACACTTTATAGACATGAACAGGGTTACCCTAAATTTTATACAGAAATTTGTATTGGTTAGTTGTAAATGTCAATGTGTGGACTGGAGAGATGCTCAGTGGTTAAGAGCACTAGCTACTCTTGCAAAGGACCTGGGTTCAATCCCCGGCACCCATGTGGCTAACAACCATTGTAACTCCAGTTCCCAGGGATCTCATTCCTTCTTCTGGCCTCTGGGGGCACTGCATGCGTGCATTGCACTTATATACATGCAGGAAAAACACTCATACACATAAAATAAAAATAAATAAATAAATAAAAATTTAAAAGTTGGAGCCTATGAAACCTGGAGAAGACACAACATTCTGTGATAGTAATGCAGCCACAGATAGATAGGCACAGCCACTCAAACTGCTCTCTTTCTCTTCTCTTGTAAAAGCCTACACTCTACCGTCCTAAGAGCTGGGAACACCTAGGAAGAGAGCCCACGACATCTATACACTCATCCCCACCCCCATTGCAGAGCCCGACATACATTCAGCATCTAACAGTACAAAGCCACATTTCCATTCAGAGGTAGAAGAATAAATGAAAAGGGATCTCCATCAAGCTCCTGGAAAGTGAGCCCTAAATGATGACTCTTACCCCTTACTCTTGGGGTAAGAGTTCAAGGGAGCCCCAGACCCTGAACTCATTGCAGGAATATCCAATCACCCATGGGACCCAGAGGTGTTTGGAATGAAACCAGCAAGTCCCTGCCATCTACCAATAGCCAGGCTAATGGTGCCTTCTTCCCAGGCGATAAAATTTCACAACAAATAAATAAAACCATTAGATATCTTTAAGCTAAAGATGGAGGATGGAGCTGGGCGTGGTGGCGCACGCCTTTAATCCCAGCACTCTGGAGGCAGAGGCAGGCGGATCTCTCTGAGTTCAAAGCCAGCCTGGTCTACACAGTGAGTTCCAGGACAGCTGGGGCTACAGAGAGACCCTGTCTCAAAAAGACCA